ATCAGAAGTCTATTGTTAAAGTACCATCCAGCAAAAGACCTTTTACCTTTTTCTTGAAATTAAAGATTGACAAGTTTTCAAAATCATCAGGGATACAATTGTAGATTTTAGCGATGCCATAGGAGAAGCAAGATCGGTAAAGCGAAGTGTTGTGCATGGGTACAGATAATTTCTGTTGAAACCGGACATTTACATTGCGCGCTTCAGAACGCTTCTGAATTTTTCAGTAGAGATATGAAGGTTTTTTTGTGAGTAGAATTTTGTGATATAATACACAGCAATGCAAAATACGTCGTTTGTTCATAGGCAACCAGCCCAGTCCAGTAATGTAACTTGAGGTCGGAGTCTGTCTTTTAATACCGCATATCAGTCGGGTGCAAGAGTTTTGGAGTCTTCGTAAGCGAGTTCTATCGGAATTTTTGATAGCTGGCCCATAAACAACATCGCAGTAATTTAGCTGTGATAAGACGAGTGACTCGCAGAGGGTGATTTTGCAAGCTTTATTTAGAATCTCTTTGTTGGAATAGATCAGTTTTAGGTTTACGAAAGCTTTTTTGATTATATGTGACATATGCGCGGAAAACGTGAGGGAGTCATCAAGAAACAGGCCTACATTTTTTTCGCAATTTGACAGTTCGAGTGTATCATTGCGAATGTGAAGGGAAATCAGGGGTCGGTATCTATTTTTGGTCGATTTTCTACCGAAAAGTATAGCTTTGGATTTGATTGGATTGATGGACAAACAGAATTTTTCTGATATATCGCGAGATCCTCGTTAACTTCATTGCAGGCAGCAACAATTATGATGAATGTCAGATGTCATGAATGTCATAAATTGGTTCAGCTGTCGTGTAGTACCTCTGAAACAGGCGAGAATATGGTCTACATATCTGTACCAAAAATGAATATGTTTTTTACCCAGGGCGGAATTTACTATAGTGGTCTCCAAGTTGTTCATAAATATGTCTGCTAAAAGTGGACTAAGGGGTGAGCCCATTGGTAAACCTGAATCCTGTTTATAAAATTTGTTGTTGAACTGTAGGTAGCTCCGATTTAGGCACACATCGAAAGCTGTTGACACTTCAAAGAAATGTCAATGTGCTGGACGTCCAGGTCGGGCGTCGTCATTCTGTAAAAAACTTGCACCACTTGTAAACATTTTTATGACATAGAGTAGTACATTCAAAGTATGCCACTGAAAACATTTTAAGTGTTTTCGAGCTCTCAATTCCATTTTTTACACAAAATTTGATGCAAATTGAGACAAGGGTACCATCATAAAAAATCGCTAAATATACGTAGCTCGCGAAATTTAAACATTCACTTCATTTTTCGTACAGACCACTACTATATGAGATGGTTCGATATAATGAGCATTGAAAAATCTACAACGGGTCTTTGTACAAATCCAATCTACAGCAACCCTACAAAAAAAAATTATAAAAAATAATGACAAAAAAGTCGATTATTGGAAAGCATATCAATTGAACATCCGGTTGGCAAGCCCAAGAAAAACACATAATGAGGGGAATATATAAAATTAACGTCTGGATCATACATAAGAAGTACATAGATTTGAGAAAGTTGAAAAAATCAAAGTCATATTGAACAGGCATTTGGCCAGCCTAGAATGCAGATACGTCTAGATGAATTTCTAATTGGAAAAATATATTTTTCTGAATTGCAAACCGAAAAACAAATCGATATCTACAAATAAACGGTCTTACATTCCCGGAAGTCTAAAAACGAATGTATATATTAACAATATTCTGTAATTGTTATTAGTAATTTAGTGATTTTTCCACTCATGAATAACTGCTGGAATGGCTCATCCATCAGAATGTATATATCTATGTGTTGACTGAAAACAATTTAATATCGAAAACTAAACAGGGATATAAAAGAAGAGCGGCCAAAGTAGGAGGAATATTCTCATTTGGTTCTAGAGAATGTAACATATTGAAATTTTGAATACACTGAACCGTTCCTTGATGAAAACACTATACATGATAATAATTAAACAATTTTCACAGTATGTACTTTGTTCAAAACGCGTTTCACTAAACACTAGTGTTTTCAGGTGAATTGGTACGTTATAATATTTTACAATGTATTTAATACAGAGTTAATTACTAATTAATAATTCTAGGTACTCAGGTAGAGTTTAATAATAATAATAATAATACTTTATTTTCTTAAAGACATGCTGATACATGTGTAGAATTTGTCATAAAAATAAAACTACAGGTACTTCCTAAGACATTGTTTGAATGTTTTCAGTGTTATACATGATTGATTTTAAGGGGGAAGTTTATTGTACAACATTCGCCCAGTGACAGTGGGTGATTTATATAATAATAACAATAATCGTCTTTATTGTTTTCCAGCTGTAGTTACATACAAATATTTAAATAAATTACAGAGCTAGTTGCTGATGTAACAAAAGGCGAAGTTCAACTCAGTTAGCACAAGTGCTACTGAATTCTTCTTCCACTATAAAAGATTAGTTCTTGAAAATGGCACATGTAAATCATTCCGCTATCTTGTATTAGCATGGTGAATTTGTTTATTGGTTTTAAAAGAGTTTGAATTACAAAATACAAAAACACAAACTTCAAATATGTACAAACACGGCAAGGGTAAGATTTGATAGGTTTTAAAAACATTTCTATAACAAGATGTACGAGAGACACCAGCGATACAACCAATCAATTTTTCTGCGATATGAACACATCATTTACACATATTTAAAAAAAATAATGGGTCAATAGCGATTAATAAAGCTGGTAAATAAAAAATAAGTGGTTAATTGATGATTTTTTAAGGAAAAAACACAAGCACTACAGGAAAATTCTTAAGGCGCTCTAAGAGCGGTGCCTGTGCGAAAGTAGCGATTCACATTGGATTTGAATCGCTGAAAATTAAATTCATTTGGAAAAACGTTCTCAGGAGGTTTAGTCCACATAAACAGTGAAGCTCGAGATGTACTGAGTTGAACCTCAAAACGATGAGCAGCCACAGTCCGTCGCGTATTTCTGATATGAACCGCTCTTGGTGGAATCTAATGTGCCAAGTCACTTGAACACTTCTCGTGAAAATATCTATAGAAGAGAGACAAATCTCCAATCTTTTTTCGATGCTCCAGACTATCAGGGTTGCAAGTTATGTTCGTGTCTCCAATCAGGCGGATGGCTCTTTTTGTGGTTGAATTCAACAGCTTGAGGGTATGCTCTGGGATGGAGCTCCATACGAGAAAAATACTCCAAAGAAGATCTGATCTGAGCTTTATAAAGTTTTGTGGTTCGGAACAGTGTTCCAAGCTTTTGAGAAGCAGCCTTCGCAATTCCAGTGACATGATTGTGCCAAGACATATTGGTGTCCATTTTAACCCCCAACAAACTCATCGAAGCAGGAAACCTAATTGTCTGACGTGACATTATTATATCCGGTTCGGAGACATTTATCTTTTTGGAGAAAACCGATGCCTGGGTTTTTTGGCATTGAATTGAACCTGTTACTTTCACCCCAATCTTCATTAAGGTATGCAACCTCCTGCTGCTGGTGAAGATCTGCATCCGCAGTCGATGTCCTGAATTCCAATTGGAATGACGAGACAAGTGTGCTGTCTTCAGCAGAGCAATATATTGGATTCTTTTTTTTGCAATAAGTCGTTACAATAAAAAGAGGATTGGAGACAATATGGATACCTGGGGAACACCGGCGTTGATGGTAAAAGTATTAGGGAGATCTCCATCGACGGCCACTTGCAGGGAACGTTCTTTCAGGAAGCTGAAGAGCTGTACACAAAAATAAACCAATAAGCCATAACATCGAAGTTTGACCATATCAAGCGCAACAGCTCTTGACTTTTGATATCACTGATAGCAAAGCGAATGGTTTATAGTTATTTGGAAGATTTTTCTTGCCCTTTTTGTGAATAGGCTGAACGCAAGCAATCTTCCAACAAGAAGGAAAAATATCTTTTTTGTCAGACAGGTTGAAAAGTCTGTAAAATACTGGTTCATTTGCGCACTTTTCAAGTACGATGACGGGCATTTCATCAGGACCAGATACCTTCCAGGAAATTATTCTGAAAACAAACTCAATAAGGGTTAGTTATAACATTGTTGCATATTATTGTTAGGTACAAGATATTATTGAAGTCAAAATAATCTTGGTCTGGATTTGTCGATAATAGCGAACACCTACAAAACACTGACATTCACCTTTTTTATATTAGTTTTCATAAAAATTCACTGATATTGACCAAATTTACGTTATTGATCAATTATGTATTGTAACTTTATTTTTTCTTAGAGATTACCTGTTTACCCAGAATTAATAATTAGTATTAACCCTGTAATTTGGTATAGATACTTTGTAAAATAGTATAATGTACCAGTTATATTAAAGAAGCTATCTTGTAGTTGAACACGTCTTAAATAAATTTCACAGTGTAAAAATGGTTGCAATGATTATCATGGATAATATTTTAAATTGAAAAACATGAAAAAATTGAATCAGCTACTTTGTTATATTTCAATAACTTGCATCCGTCATTTTGAAAAATTTCCATTTTCAGTATGCATGAATACACACAATAAGGAAGTATTTAGTCGTTAATAAATAATAAAAAATAGTAATTGTTCCGGATTAGAACTCTGTGGCACTGAAATGCACAGACAATTTTGATGACACTCTGAACTAGAAGATTATTGGCAGCCGCCTACTTATCCATTTATTCTAAATCTTCGAAAAATATTGCAACCTCCTGAGCTTACCCTAACAATTTTGTTCCCCGTACTAATTTGTGAACATCTTTCATTGGATTCTGAAATTTTCCCAAGCTGAAAGCTTCTACCCAGCTCTTCTGCTTTATAAAAAATTATTCAAATTCTCAAAATGTCTTCACCAAAAATTTTCTCCATTTGGCTCATAAATCAATAAACGTGCTCTTGTATGTGTCATTGCGCACAAACTAATCTCACATTTTTTTTCAGAATAGCCCAGCCGATCTTACTGGGACAACTAATAAAATTTTATTCTCCAGGACAAACAGACATCTCCGAAGAAAGTGCCTACTATTTTGCCGGTGGGGTAGTAATATGTTCCCTAGTGAACATTTTGATGAGCCATCCTTACATGTTGGGTGTAGTCCACTTGGGAATGAAGCTAAGAGTAGGCTGTTGTTCTTTGATTTACAGAAAAGCTTTGAAGCTGAGCAAAACGGCTTTGGGAGAAACCACTGCTGGCCAGGTGGTCAATTTGTTATCGAACGACGTTAACAGGTTCGACGTTTCCGTGCTTTTCTCCCACCAGTTGTGGGTGGGGCCAATTGAAACTATTATTTGTACTTATTTTATGTACTTGCAAGTAGGATTTGCTGCTACTATTGGAGTACTGGTTCTTATTATGTTCATCCCACTGCAAAGTAAGTTTTTTGCATTCTGTTATTATAATCAAAGGTAAAAGATTAATAACTATTGCAACCTTCTTCAGAAGTATGGGTACTTGGAATAAGAACTGATCGTCATATGAATTTTCTCGCTTGTATAACTCAGTAATTATTAATCATAATGGTTTCAGGTGTACTGGTAGTGGAATTTGCTTAAACAGTCATTTGTTTTAGATGACTAGTTTTTTCCATAAAAGGTTAACCTACTGTGACGGTTATTGGTTCTTTTGAATAAGAGGCACAGTCAATAATAAAATTAAGTGTACTTCCAAACAATTATTACACAGGATCTCTTCGATTTCTCTAGTCGCTTGCTTTACTTGGCAGTCTGTAAATAAATGATTGTTTCAGGCCCCTTCGGCTCAACTCATATACTCGGGTCAAAGCGAATAGAACATTAATTCCGATTCGCCAGTTCATTTTAGTATCGACTAGGACCATGAGAGGTGTAATAACTCGATCTTGAATCAACAAGTGCCATACTGGTGCCGTTTGTATCAGTTACTGTGTAATAGATTCTGACACAACTAATCGAGAGGGTCCTTAATACGAGTAAATGAAGTTTGCCAATCTAAGGGTAGTAGTAATGATCTGCTTTTTGGAGATCGAAGTTTTAATTCCATCTTCTCCAAAAGAGTTTCTGGTCTGCATTACTCTCGCAGTTATAATCTTATGATAGATGAAAATAGTTGTGGCTTCGTGGGTGGAACGTCATTGTCAAGTACTGGCACCAGCATTTCGGAAAATTTGAAATGAACATAATGAATACTCACCACCCCGAATTTTTCCGACACGGATAGAAATATATAAATGTACAAAACCAATAATTAAAGGTTTTCAGGGAAGACATATGTTTACGCCCAAGGAACATTCGAGAATAATTATTTATTTTCTTCCTTCTTTGAAAGTTTCCCAAATTTTTTGTTTAGTAATAGGAAGCTAGAAAGTCAAAGAGATATGGTGACTTCTTTACCAACATAATTCATTCAATCAACTGATTCGAAGCCCCAAAAACGAGATGATAAACTAGCGAAGACATATATTTAACAAGATGAGTTTATGGATTACCTACTATGAACTCCTCATAGATTTTCATTTTATTTTGAATTATTTACAAATTTATATGCCCCGTGAATACTTCAGATAAGGGGCATCGATATATTTTTATTTTTTCATTTGCTCCTTTCCATTCAACAGCACGTTTCAAATGATTTACCATACATGGTATATGCCATTTGGAAAACTAGTAGTGTTAGAGTCTTGCGTGGAGGATCTACGAATGCCGCGTGGGTGTGAACATGTTTCATTACTATTAAAACGTTGAGGGCATGGAGGGGCGAAGCTATCATGTCGCTTCGACGTAAAAATGTGCTCCATTGAAGACCTTTAGTTGGGAGCCCGGAAATGTTTGGTATATTCAGTCCATTCCATCCGACAAGAACTTTCAAATTATTGTGGTAGGGGTTTACATTGAGGGGTTACAGGTTCTTCCATATTTCTATCCTTTTCGGAAATATTCATGGTGGTAAGTTTTTGTTGGGAGGCCCAGTTCATGAATTTCTGGCTGGCATTCTCTTATCGTGTTTTACTATTTCATTCAACTGTGGATAAAGTGGCTAAAGTCAATTCTTGGCAGAGTCTTGATTCGAAATTCTGATAGGAATTCGTTCACAGGCTACTTGCTCCATTTTACAGCCACAGTTCCAGGTTCTTGATTCAGAGTAGAAACAGGAAAATAATTCATCAACACCATCAGTTATTAATTACCATCGTCAGTCATGAGGAAACGCCAGAGACTATCCACTGATTCATCTCCAAAGAAATACAATTGGATAATATTCCTTTTTTCCTGGGCTTAGTGTTATAAGGTATATATTCAAGGTCAAACGTCGTACTATGTTCAGCATTTTTATCGTCACAGCGACCCATTTCTTATTTCTTGCTAACTCGTGATGGGTTTATTTCACTATGGAGTTCCCGCATATCTTTCTGTTGTGTTCCTAGTAAGATTAAATGGCGCACTACCGTTGCCATGTCGGGACTAACATCCTTGTGGTCGACAGACCATATTTGCACCATACTCAGAGACTTGTTGCCAGTCAGGTCGAATTCAATTATTGGTCCAGTTATTAAGTAACTGCGATTCAGAATCCAGTCTTAATACTTCCTATCCCGGTTCTTTGTTTCTTGGTATTGCAGCCTTCAAGTTACCTGAGCAAAATATGGTAGAACAGAGTTTTCTCGTAGTCAATTGTTATTTGTGCGCCTTCTTTCAGACTTCAGAAATGAGTTTCATCTTTCGGGAGTTGCCGATTTGTATCTTCACTCGAGTATAGTTCATCTGTATCTTATTTAGGATATTAGTGGATTACGGCTTTGCAGTTGAATGTATTCCATGAATACTTTGATGTCTTCCACACTCTTGTAGGGTATCTGTTGGTTGTTAACCTCGGTTTCCGAGTTGACTTCAGTATATTTGTTTTAATTTCTTATACGTCCATACTACATGTTCAGTACTTTCTGTCATCTGGAATGTCCTGTAGTATTTCTAAAATTATACCTCATAATGAAAAAGGTGTGCAGTAAACATTATCTCTTGCGACAACTTGTTGGGGGTATTTTACGTTCACGAAGACCATAAAGGACTAGCAAAATATTTCCAGGCCTCATACATGTCCCAAAAAGTCCACATTAAGGGAAAAACTCATTCTAAATGATGACATATGGTACGTTAAAGGAAATGTCAAAACAGTAAAGCTTGAAAATCATTTCTGTAGAAAATAATCAGTTCTTAAATAACGGATTACCAAAAAATTTAAAACGTGCACTAACGAGTGCATTAAAAATGTGATTTTTCAAAAATATTCAACACAAACCTGCACATTGATTGTCAGATTCGAGATTTCTAAAGTGTAAATTTCCATGTTCATATAAAAAGGTAAAATTTTGCAGAATGGAATTTGAAGCTAAAAAATGATGAAGAACAATGACTTGAACCATAAAGAATGCAAATCCAATGGTAATTTTTAAAGAAACAATTCATTGTGAATAATGTAAAATGAGAAAACACAAAAATTGCAACTACTAATAACAATAAATGAAATGTGAAGAATGTACAAATTAGGAGAATAATGAATAACTGCCAAACCGAGTTATTTACATTTCCATTATTAGTCTTTTTTGGGTAATGACCATTTTGATAAGACTCTTCAACGTAATTTAGTAAGATTGAAGGTGATAACTACATATTTCATGACGTACCCATATGAAACATTATTTATTTTACAGCAAGTTGGTAGAATAATGTTGAAGTTTAGGTTACTGGATGTGTATGCTTTTGTCGAGAATACTTCTCCTGGAGCATATTAAACATAATATGATTATTATTTAATTGAAAAGAACTGGCCGATCCATATTAAAACTCATTAAATATTTTATTGTATGATTTTCGCTATAAAGGGTTTTACAAAAACCATGACACGTGTTTCGCTATTCAACTTTCTCAAGCGTTAATAATAAATTACTTTTTAACGCTTGAGAAAGCTATTGTATAACGAAACACGTGTCGCGGTTTTTCTAAAATCCCTTATATTGAAAATCATACAATAAACTGTATCAATGAGTTTCGATTATTATTTTTTGACAAAGTATTAACTTTGTTAACCAGTTATCGTAAAAAATAACTGATGGCAAGTATGATTATAGGTATCATAAACTACAGGTTATTGCGGCATTGTTATGTTTCTTATTCCAGAAAAACTTATATATTGAGATGTGCTACACATAGATATCATCAATACAGTCAAGGACAGACAGATAGGCAGATGAAATTGTAGCCCTATGACTTTCAATCCATGAACTATCTGAGCAAATTCCATAAAATATCAATAGCTCATGTTCAATGTTTTCGCAACAATGAATAATTTTCAAAATGTTGGCTCTCATCTCACAGGATACCTATTATCCTTAGCAATCTATTTTTTCATTTACTCGTTGAATTCACTTCAATTTCTCCTCTTAAAATTGGTAAAAATAATAATATTTAGAATATTTCGTAAAAAGTTCATTGTTATAATAAGTGACTGTTTGACATCAGTTGCTTCCGTTTGCAAAAAAGAATTGACAGTTGTTGCACACATTATTGGCACCAACTGCACGTTCAATCATTCACAGAAATGTCGTGAACCCGCAGATAAGAAGTATAAGGATTACAACAGTTTTTTGTTATAGACTTTGATTGAAATTTTATTTTCCTTCTCAAATAAAATGAACGCATAGCTTGTTTGTCTAGTAGGTTCATAGGAAGCTGGTGTTGCTTTTAGCAGTATATGGTGATATATATTTAATTGTATGAAGTCTTAACAAATATTTTACTGATCTGAAAATATTTTGCCCTTAATTTCAGTTTACTTAGGAAAACGTATTTCAAAATTACGTATGAGAACAGCCATGAGAACGGATGAAAGAGTGCGTTTGATGAATGAGATAATATCAGGCATACAAGTCATAAAAATGTATGCCTGGGAAAAACCTTTCAACCATTTAGTATATCTATCAAGAAGGTGAGTTGGAGTGGCAAATACTAAATTCATTATGTGCATGTTGAAATATTAATAATTCAATTCACATTTCATTTTTGTATTCAATTATTTTTCAGGAACGAAATCAAGTCCATAAGAATCACCTCTTTCATGCGAGGTATTCTGTTGTCTTTCATAATGTACAGTACAAGAATGTCAATATTCGTCAGTATTCTCGCTTACGTTTTATCGGGCTATGAAATAACGGCCGAAAAAGTATTTGTACTTACCTCATTTTACAATATTTTGAGGCAAACCATGACTGTATTTTTCCCTCAAGGAATATCACAGGTAGCGGAAGCTAAGGTAAAGTTAATAATGCTTGTTATTAATAATGCAAATATGTATTGTAATTTTCGGTTCCATTATGAAATGATCTCGAATAATTAGCAAAACCTGGCAGACTAACTATTTATTGAAGTGTAATATTATTACAAACTCAGCACAAAACAAATCAGTAAAAATCATAAACTTGATGTAAAAATGTGAACTTTTATGGCCGGAAATAACTGTGTCAAAATTATTTTCCAGGTTTGTTGGCCTTGATCTGACGTTTTGTCTACAAAACGTAGGAATCAAAAATGTATCTCCATCGTTTGGGGTTTGTATTTCCAGCTTTTTTCCATGGTAGAGCATAGCTTTGTTTTTTTTGAGCTAGTTGATCTAATCCGTATTCGATGCTTTGAATATTATATCGCTGTCTCTACGCCCATGTTCGGCTACTACATATTTTTGGTATGTGCGAGGTAACATATTTTCTATATATTCATAAAACTCGGTTGGTTTTCATTTGCCTTAATATCGATCTCCCGTTGTGTTTTTTCAGAATTCTCTCTATACGTGCTTTAATATCTTTGAGAGGCATACTGCAGGCTCTTTGATTACCCATTTCTTTCATTGTTGTCGTAGTTTTTATTAGGAAATCGATCTGTTTTAATTGATTTCCTATACATCCTTTGTCCCAAGTGTCATGCTCAAGGCAATTCACTAGAATTATAGACTCTGGTTCACAGATCATTGAAACCAGCACGACAAGGATCAAACTCCTAATACAACTGAAATGATAGTAACGGAGCCACATCCATCACCGATGGAAAAAATCAGAGAAACGAACCATAAACAATGTAGTATGTCGCGTGGACAAATAAAACACTACATTCGTTATATCACCGCCTCTGATGGTATATACCGCACTTGTACACAAATCATCGACATAAAAAATTGCAGACCACAGCCAAGAAACCCAGAAAATAGCGTAGACACAGATATAACGTTTTCACAAGTTTTCTCATGAGCTGAGTATTTTCAGCGTAAAATGAAATCCACCCTTTCCTCACATTTGAGCTCATGACTTTTTCAATATTTCATAGAAATTGTTGAATTAGCACTACTAGCCCGGTATTGGGTGCAATTTAGCTAGGGAAGGGATTCATTGAAATTTTAGAAGCTATTGGTAAGTGTAACGGTAGAAGTTTCATTGTGGGTGTGAGACATTAGCATCAAGAATTATTGAATGCTTGAGAGGGAAACACCAAGTGTAAATTGATAACGTGTTATAAATTCATAAAATTCAAAATTAGACGTTTCGTAGGTACATGTTTTTCCCACTGTATACCTTATTTGTAAAAATAACATATTTCACCATTAGCTACTTTGGAGCTATTGCTTAAATTTTCCGAAGTCAAAATTGCATCTTATGTATGTGTGTTTCTCTTGTGATCGTCAATACGGACTGTCAATGACCTCTTAGTTTCACCACCTATAGGAACTGCCGCACGCACAGGGTACCCGGTGAATGCAATTCTTGGAATCGCAGTTCGCGTTTTATGGCCTGGTTTTCGTGAGGCTGCTACGGATGGTGTTTCCGCATCTGAAGCAGGATTTGGACCCAACTCTTCTTATCCTTTCTGTCAACCTCTGACGTAGGGAAGGGCAAGCACTGGTTATGACGGCTTCTCTTTCTCGCGAGCCTCTTGCTGTCTTCTAGCCACCATCACTTTGGGGTAGAATTTCCGTTGAACATCATTTTTAATGATGCCTGGTTCCTTCCCGAGACCTTCCTTCGTATTACAAAGCCCAAAAGCACGATCCACTAGAGTTTTGATGATTCCTCTTTTGGTAGATTGATGGTGGTTGAATTCGTAATCCAGACACTGTCCAGTATGAGAGGATTTTCAGTATACAGATGTATCCCACTTAGTATTGGTCCTATTCATCAAAACCGCCAAGAATGGCAATTCGTTGTGGATTTCCTTATTCATTGTGACGGTGATGGACGGTGATGGACGGTTGTATGCTGTTAATGTGCTCCAGAAAGGTGTCTAGTTCTGTATTCCCATGGTTCCATACTATGAAGGTGTCGTCAACCAGACATAGAGTTTCTTCAAATGCCAGAGTTTCAAACCACTCCATAACTGGGAAAGTGGCGATCCCATTGGAAGTTCCTCATCTTGCGTTTTATTGCTCAATTTAATTGTTGTTTTAAGCTGTTCTTTTTAATTTCTTAATTTTAATTGTTCTTTTAGATATTTCAAATCATATTATATCATATTAGACAATGGAAGTCCGAACTGGTAAAACTAACCAATAATTTGGCCTCATACTCAGAACCAAACTCTGTACAAATATTTGTGGTGGTATTTCATTGCACTGGACAAACCCAGTGAAAAATCTTAAAATTAAGTTTTACATATCTTTTTTGAAACCAATAAGCTCAAATCCAGTTTAATATTAAATGAGTAGTAGCCTTCGAGGTGTTCTTTAAATTTTATCATTTATCTAGTAGACACGAACGTCATACCTGAAAAACCGCTTACTGAAATAAAGCATTTTTTTCTACCAGATGAATTATTTTCTCTTTAAGGTTTCTATTAAAAGACTGAACGACTTCATGTTGTATGATGAAACCCAAATCGCAAAGGCAATCAGAAGGGCCGAAATTCTTGAACATAATGGAGATAAAGAAAAAGATATCAGTAAGTCGATAAATGGAGTTACAAATAAGACAGATCCAGGAATATTTCTTAATAATGCCACTGCAAAATGGAGTGAAGCCTCAACTGAAAATACGTTAACCAACATAAATCTGAAGGTGAGTTTATAAACATGCATGTTTTAATATTTGTCATTCAGTCGTCTTTTACTATTTGTCAGTTTGTTATATACATAAGAGCTTTGATGTCCAGAATATCAATCACCTGAACAAAATAGTTGAAATTCTGCTAATAATTGTTACCTATTTTACTCTCCTTGAATTTTTAAGGCGTTCATAGACGAAATGTCTTAGATAACTTCTGTTAGACCTGGTCATTATTGTTCTGTTCTACTCTTCCGGTGTAAATATAGGTCTCTATGCCAGTTGTAATGAGGAGGAATCATTGTATCAGAAGCATATTATGCGGAGATTTCAACATAGACATTTTGAAATTTGGTATTAGCCAGTGTAGTAGTTGTTTTCTGATAGGCGTCAGTCCATTCAACCTACGGTGTAGGTATATCCGATAAGAGCTTGAACATTTAAAGTTCATTTCTTTAGATTTTTTTACTGCCTGTCTTCAAGCATAACCCACTGACTAATAAGAAAATAGACATTTTGGAATCCACTTCAAATACAATACGTTTCTTGGATATGTTGGAAATGTTCGAATCATTTAAACATTCATGAACCAACACGACTACACGACTTTATAAATGTTTGGACAATATCATGAGTAACATAATTTATAAGCTGAAAGGTGAGGTTGTTCATGTTACATTCTCGGACCATTGGGAACAGTTACTATCATTTGATATGACTAACTTGATTGTAAAATCAGGTATCAGTGAAATATAGACCAATCAATGGGTACATTTCCATTTTCCAGGATTAGATATCTGAAGAAACATGGGCTATTTCCAATATTGAAGATGTAAATGATTTTTATAGTACTTTTTCTCCAATTTTCAATTATTATTTCAATACAGTGTTTCTTGAATTATACCAAGTGGTAAAATTAGATGAAAAAAATAAACCTTTGATCACTCCTGAAGTAAAAACGAAGTCTCATTACATGACAGATTTGCACTTTATGGTTCGAAGTAGTGCCAATAATCAAGACTTAGTAAAATTATACAGGGAGAAGAAAAATATATTTAAGAAGTTTGTCAATCAAACCAAGAAAACTTATAATCGTTGTTTGGTTTTGAGCGTAGTATATAAATGAAAGACTGTATGGAAGTTGATAAAAAATTAGGTTGGCCCAAAAATTTGATCCGTACCTCTTCAAATGTATGATAGTCATAGTCAAGTAGTGTGTGATCCACAGGAAATAGATATTTGCTGAGTAGTTCTCACTAGAACCCAATCAGAACTTGACCAATATAGGGTACAGTTTGAAGAAAAATGTGTTGATAACTTACAAGAAAATAATATTCTTGATTCATATCAGTATGGATTTCTACCAGGCAAATCAACAGAAAATGCCATTTGCCAGTCCTTGAAGTTTGTGGAAGACTTGATTGATAGATGTGACTTATTGACGGTATTTATTTTGATCTTACAAGGGCCTTTAACTCTCTTGATCATAATATCCTTTTAAATAGACTTGAATTTTATGACTTCAGAGGTGTAGCGTTGAGGCTGTTGAAATCCTTTTCAACTGAAAGAACTTACCAGGTTTTTCTAAATTTCGAAATAGGTGCTCATATCAAGGAGTTCTATTCGTCTACCAGAAATATCAATCTGTATGTGCCCCAAGGATCTATTCTTGGACCATTGTTGTTCATAGTATATGTGAATGATCTGTCTGAAAATCTGACAATACCAGCTGTGTTTCGAATCGCTGATGACACATCATCTGTAGTATCCACACGAAATCTGAGAAATCTTTCAAATAAGGCAACAAAAGTGGCCAATGAAATGCTGAACTGGATTGTTATTTTGGCAAATAATTTTTTTCCGACACGAAAACGTATTGTGAGAATACGTTTTGATACAATCTGAGAATACCTCCACGTGGATCTAGTTTATTTGAAAGGGAAGCTGAATAAATCTACCAGATCATCTAAGGTCTATTGAGGTGTCAGATCATTCAAAGTTGAAGTCAAACACTTTCTGCTGGATAACTGCTTTTATTCAATTGAGAAATATCTCACTTTTAATTACAATTACACCGATCTTGCAGTTTTTTTATTCATTTTATGCACTTGTTACTTGTTTTTTTCTTTTAACTTGAGCCTCTAAATGTACTGTGTAATCTGTTCAGATTTATGTATTTATTTATATGCATCATGTATACTAAACCATGTCAATATCCTCTCATCATTATTATTATATTTTCTCTCTATCAACATGGTCGTAAAACAGCGGAGAAAATTTCAAAACTTCAGTTGCATCAATGAAATAATTTAAAAATATTGTACTCGTTTTCCTCGATTTTTATATTTTCAAAATATTTTTGTAGCCTTCCTGTTACCAAATTTTTTCAAATCTCAAGGGTAGGTCTTCAAAAACATTTTTTAAAGACAATATTTTTACGTTTCTGAAGCTTTGTTAAAATTGTCTCCTTCACTTACGCGAATGTTCCAAAATTTATTTCAGACTAAATCATTACACCAAACCATTTTCAGATATTTTCCGGCCAACTTCTGGGAGTTATAGGCCCAGTAGGTAGTGGAAAAAGCTCTCTACTCCACGTTATTCTTCAAGAGCTCACTTTAATAGAGGGTACCCTCAGAGTCAGCGGTGAAATAAGCTACGCTTCCCAAGAACCTTGGCTCTTTGCCGGTACCGTACGTCAGAATATACTTTTTGGATTACCGATGGACAAACTGAGATATAGAACTGTGATAAAAAAATGTGCCTTAGAACGTGATTTTTCTCTGTTGCCTTATGGAGATAAGACGATCGTGGGAGATAGGGGAGTATCGCTGAGTGGAGGGCAGCGAGCAAGAATAAACTTAGCAAGAGCGGTTTATAAACAAGCAGACATTTACCTTTTAGATGATCCGCTTTCGGCCGTTGATACGCATGTTGGAAAAGAATTGTTCGAACAATGCATTACCGGGTACTTGAAAAATAAAATAGTTGTGCTGGTAACCCACCAGATACAGTATCTTCAAGAAGTTGATCACATTTTGTTTTTAGAAGATGGGAATCCTAAAACTGGTGAGTAATCACTCATGTATAAAATTTCCGGAAGGTATTGATGATGTCTGCTGCAGTAGTTGACGGAACGTTTGGTACTACAAGTTCTATTTGACCACTGTTTATCAGTCCAGATTTTGTTCCCTCTAATCGTGACTCCGGCCATGTAAACCTATGTTCTTATAACTGGAAGGTAGTTCGTGTTAGTTCTTTTAGAAAATAAAAACATCTAACCTTTAGATTCCCAAATCAACAACTATTAATTCAGTGCCTAAAATGTTGGTACAATAAAATAGCTCTTTACACATGATTTTCGGATTTCAATAATGAGAGTTTTCAACAGAAATCGAAGTCTTGAACAACAAAACATTACTTTACATACAATGCAGTCATTTTCTTAATGTTTTTCGTATATTCACAGGTACTTTTAGAGAACTTCAAGCTAGTGGTCTGGATTTCACCAAAATGCTTGGAGAAGTAGTGCAAGAAGAGGAAAAGAAAGAAGAATCGGAAATATCGCGACAGATGTCCATCAGAAGTATCGCTTCGGTGGAATGTGAAGCTCCGAAAGAAGTTGAAGAACAGAAAGGGAGTGGTTCGATTGATTCCTATGTTTACAAAGCTTACTTCAGCGCTGGTGGCAATTGCTGTATTATATTAGTGTTGTTTTTCTTATTCTTTGCTGCGCAACTTTTCGCAAGTGCAGCAGATTATTTCATTACTTATTGGTAAGTTGAAATTCCGTCAAATATATTCCCATATTCGTTGCACTGGTCGTATAAAAGTTTAAGTGTTATGTAAACTTGTGAATTGTTCTGAAACATCACTTAACTCTGGCTATCAGTTGCTGCTATTAACTGTTCTCCAGACTTTCACTGAACTGACTTTTTTATTCTCTACTACGAGGGTAGTCTGAAAAGTTTCCTACCTAACAAAGAAACAAGATTTTTTTTTAATTTTCAACACATTTCAACTCTACGCACTTCTCACAGCGATGCCCAAATATCTGTAACCCGTCCATATAGTACTCGGCGTTTTTCTTTTCTGCAAAATAATTGTTAACGAAGGTGAACATTTGACGAAAATCTGTTCTCCGAGCGCAATTTTTGGATGAGGGAAAAAAGTTTCTTGAGGCTAGATCTGGTGACTAAGACGGATAATCAAGCACTTCAATTCGTGAATTTTCACCATGGCAACCGCTGATATGTGAGACGGTGCGTTGTTTGGTGAAACAGGGTTTATTTTTTTTGCAATAGTTGCCGTTTTTCAGCAAAATCTGCCTTCAGCTTGTCAAGTAATGATGCATAGTATGCTCCTGTAATGGTTTCCCCTTTTTTAATATAATCGAAGAGTTGCCGTCACTTTCCCAGCCGAAAAAACAGTTTTGCTTTTTTTGGAGCTGGTTCATCCTTTGCCTTCTACTGTTTCAACTATTTTTGTTTCGGACGTATAATTGTGTATCCAAGTTTCATCTACAGTAATTAATCGGAGCCAAAACTCGGATTTATTGCTCCTAAACTGCGCCAACAGAGCGTTGGAAATGTTCTTTCAAACACGTTTTTGGTTTAACGTGAGCAAACGCGGCACCTAACGCGTGGACAGTTTTCTCATGCCTAAATGTTGATTTAATATGTGGCAAACACGTTCTTTTTAATATGTTCATAAGCTCTTCTATATCTCACGCTCCGATTCGGCTATAGTTTGGCACCATTTGATTCATTTTGGCGATGTTTTCGTCGGTAGTTGCAGTTTTTCAGCTGCCAGAGTCCCTGCTCACAGAATCCAACTCATCTTTACGTAGGCGTATTGCCTTTCAAAAACAAATATTCAATGACATCTCAATACTCGATTTTGTTCATTTTCATAAAAACCCATCAACTCACTCAAACGACCTTTGCATAAAAACTGCGCGTCCAAAATGGCTGAAACTTTTGTGAGTAACTGTCAACAGATGCACAATAAAATTTTCTAGCTTTTATTTACCACCCTCGTATACTATCTACACTGAACTGAAAACTCCACCAAATGATACTCCGTACTAACTGTGACTGAGGTACGGATGCTTTGTCTGCCGTTTTAAAAAAATCATCTCTTTTGTATTTTATTTTCCCATTTTAACTTGTTCTTCAGTGTGATATACTAATTGTTTTCTCCTCTCTGCACCAACTGTTTCTATGTACTTTGTGGATGTGCCTTTTTATATAAAATCTTCACTGTCATATTTGATTTTCTCACACAGCACTTGCTATATAATTATATGTCTGATTTGATTTCCTCAATTCCTTATGAAATAGAAAGTACTTTTACTGGCTGAATGACTCCTCTCATTAATTCTTGACATTGATTTGATGTCCTGTATGCCTTACCAGTAGAGTATGCTTCATCTATTATTTTGATCTTGTATCATAGTTGTTTTTTTTTCAGTAAGGTGTGGTACTTTATTGATTTTTGTTCGAGTTTTTTCCCTTTTGAAGAGAGTTGTTTTTGTCATCATAAAAGCATGTGTCTACAACTTAAATATTTACTTGTTGGTTATTCTCTAATTATTCGAGTTTGACATTTAGTATATTTTCTTGCTATATAATTCTTTTTATATAACACTATTTTGGCTGTAGAAGGGTTTTGTCCCGGCTTCTTTACACAACCAACATCAAAAAAATCTTAATTTTAAGTTTTCAGTTGACTTAGAGTGCTTGTGGAAATGCGCTTGACATACTTGAATTTATTCGGAACAAAATATTTGTTCACTTTATTCGATGATTATTACCATCTATCACTTTTATATAAATAATTCGATGGTTATTACCATCTATCACTTTTATATAAATACAATGGTTTACTGTATAAAAGTAGTTATGTTCTAAAAATGTAAATAACAATAAAAAAACAGTTTATTAAAGTGTGTTCTTTTTTTTTATTCAAGGGTGAATTTAGAACAGGAAGATAATGCCGGAAAGTATATTCTAAATAGCACCTTGGAGAGAACAAACACAACAATAATGCCAACAGAAAGTGCAGAAACGGATTTCTGGCATTTCTCAAGAAACACGTCCATCTATATATACTCAGTTATAATAATCCTGTTAGTTGTAACAACATTGGTCAGGTCATTCGCTTTCTTTTCCATATGCATGAGAGCATCCACAAACCTACATAATAACATGTTTGTAAGTATCACAAGGGCCACAATGCGATTCTTCAACACCAACAGTGCCGGTAGGATCTTGAACAGGTTTTCCAAAGACATGGGCTCCATAGATGAATTGCTACCAGCCGCTTTGATAGACTGCTTACAAATTGGACTGTCACTTCTGGGTATCATTATTGTTGTTGCTGTTGTCAGTCCCTGGTTGATGATACCCACTTTCTTGATTGGTATCGTGTTTTACTTGCTCAGGATATTTTATTTAAGGACTAGTAGAAATGTGAAGCGATTGGAAGGAACAAGTGAGTCCATTACTTTTTTAAACAACTTGACTAGAAAAATAAAAACGAGATTTTCTAATAGGATTTAGGAAATATACATAGTAAATTTCTTCCACAAACTTTGTGAAGTATGTATAGTAAATTATTAATCGATTATATGAATTACATGGCGGGACGGTAGCCGGTTGGGTTGGCTGAGTGGTTTTTTCCACTCCTCCAAGTGATATAAATTGAATTACGGCCTCTGACAGTAAACTGTTATTTCTGCTTTCGGCATTTTCAAGAAATGTTCTCAACTAATACATCAATACATTTATTAATGTAATTTTTTAGCACGAAGCCCAGTATTCTCCCACCTCAGTGCATCACTTCTTGGCCTAACAACTATAAGGGCATTTGGAGCAGAGGAAATTTTGACTCAAGAGTTTGACAGTCATCAAGATTTACACAGTTCAGCTTGGTACAGTTTCATATCTACCTCAAGAGCTTTTGGATATTATTTAGATCTGATCTGTATCGTCTACATTACCTTGGTTACATTCAGTTTCCTTCTCATCGGAACAGGTGAGTATCTTCAAGATTACGCAAATAGATCATGCATTTTATAGCTACAAAGGTCACATTTTGAGCTTTTACGAAAAGTAGGCAAGACATTTTTTGAGGAACTTTTATTTAATTTAGTTTTTTTGTTGTTGGCATCGCAAGCTGTGGTCATTCGCCTTGGGTTTTTGGTAGGTTACATTCGGAATTACTTAGGGAGCATCATGGCCGTTCGCGGACCTGTCAGTTATATGTAATATAGCAAATTCTTTTCACTTTCAAAAAACATATCTGGTGAAGGCCGAATTCACACTCATAATCTTTTCATCTGAGTCATTCACCTCTCAATTATTTTATTGTTTTTCAACATATATGCTTTTGCAGGCGTTCAAACCAATTCTTCAAACATTTTTCTGTTCTGAAGTGGATAAGTATCTAAAAATCATAATTTAGGAAACTTTCAAAAGCTTCTTGGCATTAGGAAATTCGGTAACAATTAAAAGAGTCGTTAACCTACAATTCAGGAGAATACGAGCAGTAGTCATCAATTCAATTTGTTTTCCATTCAAGTAATCAAACTGATTGAAACCTGGCAATGTCATGGTGGAAAGCTGCTCGATGTTTTAGAACGTTTTTCCTAATTTCATCAAAGGCTTTTGGCAAATTCATTGTAATAGGGGAGCCCAAGCGGGGATTTCGGGATTTACTAAAGCGTGGCAGATTAATATACAGGGGGATACCTTGTACCCGGTTAAGTACCTCCACCAAATATGAGCCCCATATATAAGGCCGCCCGTGAAGGATAAAGGATCAGATTAGTAAAAAAAAATTGATCATCAGAAATTCTCGAGCTCGTCAGATTAAGGTGGGGTGAGTTAATTACATGCTAAAAAGTGTATATTCCAGTAATCTGACAATTTGAGAGTGACGTAAAGAAAGGTGAGGGCAGCAAAGTTCTTAAAAAAATAACGTCATTTCGACATTCAAGGATAACAAAAAATATATAATCTGACGAAATCCGCAGGCAGAAATAACAAAAATTCGTCTATAAAGTTTAATGCGTGCACCTGTGTGATACCTATATTTCCCTCTCCGAGTTTCTATTCCTCTATTCTCTATTCACTTTTTCTCTATCTATTACTCTATCACTCCGTCCTCACTCTGAATTCTGTTGCCATGACGTCATCTCAGCTGATCACAGAGACTCGTTCGTGATGAAGATGATGATTAATTATTCAATTGATTATAAAAAATTTAATTTTTTTGAGCATTTTTTCAAAATTATTTTCTTATAAAGACAAGTATTCTACTTAAAAAACATACACTTATTTATTTGCATGCTATTCCCTGAGCTTTTCCATTAATTGATTTCAATGATTTAAAAAAATATTTTTTGTCAGATCAGGCGAATCTCTCTAGATAATCGTCAGATTATGAGACAGCACGTCTATCACAAACGATTTTGGTCTTACTTTACGAGATTAATTGCTGACGGTCGTACAACCATTACGAAATTTTCTAAACCAATTGTAAACAGTTTTTTTCTGGCGAAATTTCATTACCANACGATCATGATACATGTAACAGCAATTTTATTAGACCTCAACGTTTCAGGCTGATGAAATCACAAAAAAACTCCTATGAGTTTAAATTGTATAATGCACTTCCTGTCAATATTAAAAATATGAATATGTTTTGATTCGAAAAAGTTATAAAAAAATAGTTGAAAAAAAACTGACTCCCAGTTGTTCTTTTTTAGACACTTGGGGCTATCAAAGTGAGTCGATTGTTATCAATTTTCTATCAGAAGCTCTAATGTTTCTTATCTAGAGGTCCTGAATGTTCCATCATGTCGTTTTATCAACCCGATTTTTGTGGTCGTCTTTCTAGAGGGAATCTTTTAAATTCTTGTGCTGCGAGGTACATTAGGAGTACTCTCACAGAACTTCTCCAAGACTCTCATTTTGTCTTCGTCATATCGTTGTTGTGAGTCTTCAGAATAGTTCTATAAAACTGTTTCCATACTCTTCGGCTTGATTGAATAATTACCGTTTTGATAATCTCTTTCAATCTCCAGTGTAGTTCTCAAAATAGGAGAGATCACTGCTTCGCATAATTTCATCGTTACTGTGTCTATCCACTGGGAATTGTAGTGAATCAGTCGTCAAGGAACGATTGTAGGGATCTATGTATATCCTATCACTAGTTGCAAAGGTGGGTTTGGAGGCCTCATTAATTACATATAGTAATTAGAGAGTAACTCACCTTTTCGATTTATATTCATGATTCATGGTGCAAAATGGCTTCACATTCCATTATTATTTCACATTTATTCCTTTTGCTATAGTCAAACACTTGGCATACAGCGAAGAAAGGTACTATTTCCTTTGTGTTCTTCTTGTCTGATTTGATGGCTAATTTTCAATATAGTTCACCAGTTTACAAACACATTTTGCACCATAAAATGAGAAAGTTTCCTTTTAGATTTTTTTAAGGTGTCTTCAATTGTAATTTTATAATTGGATTATGAACACCGGTACTGCTTTATTTTCTAGATGACGCGTTATGGAGAGCTCTGGAAGATGTGGAACTAAAAGAGGCAGTTGAAGACCTCACATCTGGTTTGAATTCAAAAATGTCAGAAGGTGGATCTAACTTCAGTGTGGGACAAAGACAGCTTGTCTGTCTTGCTAGAGCTATTCTTCGCAATAATAAATTACTTGTCCTGGATGAAGCTACAGCCAATGTGGACCCCCAGACAGACAGTCTGATACAGAAAACCATCCGAAAGAAGTTTGTCGATTGTACTGTGCTAACAATAGCCCACAGATTGAATACGGTGATGGATTCTGATAAGGTTATGGTAATGGATGCTGGTATGATGAAGGAGTTGGATCATCCATATTTGCTACTGGAAAACCATGATAGCATCTTTTTTGGTATGGTCCAACAAACGGGTAGGGCCATGGCAGAAACGCTCTATAATGTGGCTAAACAGAACTACGAGCAACTACATGCAAGTTGATAGATGTTTTTATCAAAATTTAGATGAATTATTTTATTTAGTTGTTCATAACATTTTGTAACTGAATGTCAAAGATCTCCTGATTTTAATATTTGGATAAGTTAAGAACGTTCATTGTGCCAGTCTTTTATTTATTCCATTATTTCAAATAAGTTCCTTTAGAGTAGTTTTCCAGAATTATTATCACCGTATGGGATTTGGTTTAAATGGATATTTTGATATATTCTTCAAAGTTTTAAAAATCATCCTTGTTCCTGCAATTCAATTTGTCATAACAAATATTTCATTGTTTTCCAATGTTCTTCCTTTCTCTAAAAAAAATATGATGAATTAAATCTTATAACCACCAAATTACATTCAAGTTTGTGAAACTAATGAATTGAAAGTGTTTGTACTTTGAGAAATGCAGTGGAACACTTCATAAGAAAATTCAAAATGTACAAAAAAATAGACAGAAAAAGTGAAAATTGTAAAGCAATAAATATATGTCACTGTAATTACTTTTCCCTCACACCTCACTTTGTGTCCTATTTCATGAAATACATCCTTCTCTCCTTGTTCTCTGAATTTTTTTCCGATTGGTACTGTTTTGCCACAAATTTTTTCGGAAATGAAATCAAATCTCCATTTTGAAATAGTTTATCTTATATATCACCTTAATTTTGGAATCCTAATAATTTTCTGAATATAATGTTATAAAATACATTTCATGTATCATTTTTTTTTCTTATCATCTTTCCGTCCTCTCTCCTATGAAATTAATCAAAACAACACAGATATTGTAGCAAAAAAAAACTAAAGTTCTATGAAAAATGGTATATGAAAAAATATCATGTGGAATTTCCACTTCAGAGTTAATTTTTTCATCAATAACAGTAGGTAAGAGGGCATTGAATCAGGTAAGTTCAAAGGTAATCGGTCTATTCGATTCTCCACTACAACATGCCAGGGTTTATTGTGGCTATCACGTATACCAACTGGATCAAATAAATCCAGCGTCTCAACAAACCCCATGATTTCATTTGGTGAGTGATCTTTCAGTTCTGCTAATCGGGCTTGAACTTCGAAGAGAAGGATAATCCACTCCAAGGTTGACAGATTACGGTACATTTTCCTCAATCTAGTGAAGACCTGATTGGCGATCAGTTTGCAATTACCTCAATCAGATGAATGAGAAATACGAATGTGATGCCTGGGAAGTAGGTCTTTTGTGACGCATTCAGAGGAACCACCCTTTCAAGGAAGGTATTCACTGCACAAAGCAGCTAGAGACTCTCCTGATCGATCTTCTCACGTGAGTTGTACCCATTCAGACCGGAATGTGTAGCTCTGAATTCATACCCGTGGACTATCATTTAGAATACCCTCTATGTGCCGCCAAGCAGACACGTGCTACAAAATTTTCAAGAAACCTTTATATTTCCAAGGCTATTACAGTTAAATGAAAAAAGGGCTATGTTCTATAATAATTCTTATGGTAGGTGACACTACATGGGGCGGCTAGAGGATTTCCGCCCAACCCTTGGTTGGAACATCAAAAAGTGTATGTTGTGTACAGGTTTCTGATATAGTCAGTATTAGATTCTCAGAGTTTTATAAAAATCATAATAGAACTATTATCATCATCATACATAAAGTGAAATGACGGCCCCCTTTATTCACGCTGGTATCCAGGCTGGGGTGGTTCGGATAACCACGTAAAGGGGCCATGTATGTACATTCAAAAACCCGAAGGCCTCCCGAAGAGAAGTCGACTCAAAAAATATATTTGGAAAAAATCAAAAAGTCTTCCAAGCAGAAGGCGACATTAAAAAAGTTGAATTGCTTTCATCGTAAAAGAGTTTGACAAAAAAGGGGTGGCAGCATTGCTTCGAGCAAGACCGCTGCCCCCTCCCGACGAAGCTTCTGTCATCTTTGGACAAATGCGCCAGAGTGGGAAGCAAGTTTCAACAAAATTAGAGATAGAAGTTTTATATGATTTGAATTTTTGTCTATAATTAAAGCAAAATGTTTTCTTTCTCTTCTATTTCTATACTATGATACCTTGAGTTTATACGATATTATTATATATTTATACCTACTACTTCAATATTAATTTTCCATTAAAGAAAAAATATATAATAAATGATATAAGTAGCAAATGGGTGAATAACAAAGTACNTTAAGTCTTTTCTACTAGAGAAAACCTATTACTCCCTTCAGGAAATGATTGAATAATAAAATGAAAATTTCAATGAATGCATTACTCTTAGTAAATTGTCTTATTTTTAGTTATACTTTTAAGCTCTTTTCTGACTAATCCTACACAATGTATCTTTTTGATTGTCTTACAGGATAATAAAAATTATTGTTATTATATTTTTCATAGGTTCATAATTGAAGAATACTCAGTACAAAAATTTAATAATTTTATTATACTTAAGTTTTCTCTCATTAATCACTATACAAATTAATGCTAACTTATCAGCTCACAATAAAATTGTTCAATCTTCATTGACAAGTCATTTCAATTGCATCTTCAATAAATTGATGGCTCCATATTCCATTTCCAGTAAAATGATGATCTCTTTCTATAAAATACAAAATCATGTTCAACTTAGTTACTTCATCAAAAAATCTGTACTGATCACATAATATCTTGACTAGAGCATTCTCCACTTTCTCCCTATAAAACAAAAAAAATATTAGTGAGCAGGTTATACATTGAGTGATGGCATATTGCTCAGGACAAAAAGAAAAACAAGTCAGATATAAAAAATGAAGTGTTCTGCTATAAAATGCGTTATGCATAAAAATGTATTCAGTGCCGCAGGTAAAAGTCCCCCCTCCCAATTTTCAAACAAGACAAGATATCAAGATTGGACAAAGTTTATGTATGATGGTTGATTTCGTTGCAAACATTTCTTATTCTATTCACCAGTTTTGAACTGGACTGCAGTTGTATAACGAACATGTTAGATTTCACGTATACCCTGAAAAATTTTCAAGGAGTCAGCAAGTTGAAGCACGTCCTCATTGTGACAGACAAGTATTATTTTGCTTCAATAGAATGGCTATTATTATCGTGGTTCGATTTTAATTATATTCTATTCTATTCAACTGCCATTTACGATATGTGATCAATACATTGTCACATAACACCATAATCATCATACTTTTCAGATTGATTCGGCCATTACTTGATGAGGATCCATAGTAATAGTGTAGTTTTTGAAATCATCATACTTGGTGTGTGCCACTCATTGGCTAGTCAAAAAATAATGGGTGAAATCATACAACGAAAACAAATTGGCAGGCAGGAGCTCCCTACATGACGCAACAGGTTACAACACCATCCATGTTATTAACTGATCGAGAAGTGAAGCTTTCGATAGGTGTAATGTGTAGCAGTCCATCCGATGAATCTCAAGAGGTACCTCTTTCAGAGTATGTGAATCACCTGAAGGAGAGACTGGAAATTGTACACAAATTTGCCAGATCCAAATAACAGCTTTCTAGCGACAGGATGAAGATGAGGTTTGAGAAAAAGTCGCTGCCGGTGAGTTTCAAAGAGGGCAATGCAGTGTGGCTCTACCAACTTCAATGTCAGAAAGGTTTGTGTCCCAAATTGTAGAGACCATGGCAAGGGCCTTACTTGGTAACCAAAAAGATAAAAGATCTGGTCTGAAGAATTTAATTGTCTGCAGAATCAAATTGTCTACAGAATATAATTGTCATGTAGAGCGACTGAGTCCTGTGTCGTGATGTTCCTTCTTGGAATTTTGTTCAGGACGAACAACCTCAAGGAAGGGGGTAGTGTTGTGAATAATAATCGTTTGTGACTTGACTAGGTCAGGCTCAACTCGACTTCCGCTTCACGACCGTTCTAGACGCCGCGTTGCTTCGATAGGCTTTTAGCGACTTCCCTATCGGCTTCAAAAGACTTCGATTACCATATATAAACACTACCCACATGCATATAGAGGAAGTTTAGTTGATAGTGCGTTACGGAGTGATCTAATAAGGCAATAAAGATTGGAATATTACCTTCTGGTAAAAGTCCATTATATCTCAAAGTGGAGTGCAGTAGATTTGCGAAGAATAAAAACTCAAATTTGAATATTAGTTTGAAGCTTCAGTTGTTTGGTTGTATTATCAGTGTAGCAGTGAAATGATGTTGAGTTTAATTGTACAGTGTAGTCAATTATTGACAAACCCACGAAAAAAAACGTAACAATATCTAAAAACCTTAGTTCACTGACTCACTAATGATCATAGGATACTTCCTGACGTCACAGAAATCTGAAATTTGGTATTTGAGCTAGGGTTTACACACAATCAACAAAATAAATAAGAAAATCTATTGAACTTTCATCAATTTGCTAGGTACATGAAAATTGGTATTTAGACAATTCTTCCTATAAAAAAGTATGTATTTCAAAACATTTTCAAGGTCACTTCTCAACCCCTTACGATAGGAAATGAAGATTTGTACAAGACAAGTTAAAGGCTTGATAAATGGGGAAAGAACCTTTTTGGGTTTCTACTTTCCATTACTGAGCAGAAAATATGAGAGACTTTCGAAGAAAGTAAAAATTTAAATAACTACAAAGAAACTCTTATTCGTTATTTGTTTACTTGGAAGTTTCTCATATTTTTTGTTTAATGATGGAGGAGTAGGAATCCTACAAACTGATCTTTCCTAGACATAATACCTTTCCAACTGAATTGAACCCTGCTGCAAGCAACTTACAGGTAGCACTATAAAAAAGTTAAAGGATTTCATGTGAGCCAAGCTCTTTAGGAATGTGAATATCTTTCTGTATTCAACGAAAATTCACACCACCGCACGCTAGCACTCACAATAGAGGAACCGCAAAGTCTCGTTGACAGGACAACATTCTGGTTCAATAAATGAAAATTGAGACCAAACTCGAAAAAATCACCATTTATAGTTTTTTTTTCACAACCCTTCAGAGAAGCTACCTACAATAAACATCAACAAGAAATGGTAAAAAGCAGGCAATCAGTAAAATACTTGGGAGCAAACATTGATCACAAAATCAACTTGAACAGCCTTAGAAAAATTATTTAAAAAAATGCATCAATAGAGAAAAACACTTTAGGAGTCTGATATTTAAAAAAAAATCAACACTATAACTGGAACTAAAATATATAAAATGATCTGCCGTCCACTTCTCGAATATGCATACGTAATTTATTCAAGTCGTTGCAATCCTGCATTGAATAATCTCCAAACAGCTGAAACATCTACACTAAGGAGTATTACCAAAATGCGTCACCCTCAGAACATACGTGTTAGGAATCACGTATCACAAGTTTCTCAACTTCTGAGAGTTGTCGTTCATATGGGGACGACAGCTGATTAACAGAAAACAGATACTACACAATCTCTCAAACACACTGCTGTATGAAACTACAAAAGTAAAACCTATAAAGGAGAGACTATCAGACTTAGGAAACCGTTTGCAAAAAACAAAACTAACTTTGAGATCCTGTAGGCCTGAAGGACAACCTACCAAATTCAAATACCGGAAAAAACTATTTGGGAATACCTCAAATCATTCTCATAATTTATTATGGACTCAATGTAAATATTTAAAAATTGTACTCTGCCTGAAAGACTTTGGTTGATGGCCTAAGTATTCACCAAAAAATTACATTTATTATTATCATTTGTTACTTGCAATATTCAACTTACATTGGATAGAGAAGGATCCATATTACTTTTATAATACTTGAGTCATTGTAGTGTTTATCCTTCAAAAAATCATATGTTGCCATCATTTCCTTCAGGGGAACTTGCAAATATTTTGGATGCCTCTTCAATTGGTTATGTATCTGCTCCAGATCATCGGGAAAAATAGTTCTCAAGAAACCCAAGACGTCGCAAACTTTGTTTACATCTTTACCTTCCCTTAAGTAATCTTCAAATGATTCGTCTGAGCCTGATTCTAAAACATTTTTTTTACAATTATTAGTATAATATCTTGTCATTACTTTGAAGAATGATGCCTCAAGCAAGATATTGTGAATATTGTATGCAGTAAGTAATAGCAGTTACAGAGCACAATATAATTTTTTACTATATCATAAGACCTCCAGAAATAATATCAAATTTGTCAGATAAATAGGGTAAAGAATGGAATAAGTGCATGAAAACAATTAAAAACAAATCTCATTTCAACATCGCCTATAAAATGATTTTCAGTTTTAGTAAAACTGTTTAGTGAAAACCTAACACAAAACTGTATTTCTAATACTAATAAAACTGTCTCCTTGTATTACAAACGGTAATCGGTTCATTTAAAAATAAAACGACATTTGGAATTGACGAATTATCAATGAAAACCTTTCAGTTACTGCCCTAAATGTATTGGCGGAGGTAATCAATCACTCATTTCCAACGGGTTCGTTACCTTTATAAAGGTGGTGATCAAAGAATTCATTTTTGTTTGGACTGAAATACCTCAAGGGTCCCTCTGTGGGCCTTTTCTCTTTGATTTATTTACCGATGACATTGAATCCATCTTTAATAAAACTTCCTTCAGGAAACATCAATCAATCAAACTACTGTACTTGCTCCCTTATCAGATCTCTTCTTGAATAAAGCCCCAAAGTTTAGTCGATTTATTATTTGCATCAGTTTGAGAATATTCAAATAAATTGATGGATGTAGCCATTACTATGTGGTAGGAGATCATCATGAAAATTGAGATAAAATTAGACAAAAAACATAGGAAGTTTTAATTCCTAATTTTCATAATATTTAAATGGTTTAAAATAAATTTATCACTTAACAAAGGCCTAACTTTTGACTGTCATCAAAGAATCATCTTTTCCCCATACATTTTTTTCATATTAATATTATTTGTTCTGAACTTGTAACATGAGTATCCCGTTATCATTATCACTAGTAGTAGTATGATATTTTTGAAATTTTCAAATACATTTACTCAATTATAAGGATTCAATTGGTATTGTCGAAAAAGTTTTTGCTTGTTGATAAGTTGAAGAATAATGAATAGGAATGTTATATATGTTCATGATGATAATTAAAATAAGTAGAGATAAAAATATTTTGGAGGCTAATGACCAAAGTAGTCGATGTCCTTGACACAAAAAAAAAAAATTTGAAATGCAGACTTACGCAATAGAGATGGACTTCTACACTTGATTGGCATTTGTTTTAAAAAATTGAGTCTCGATTTTGTTTTATTGAAGTAAACAACTAAACGGAGAAAATCCGGGTGATTAAAGAAAATTCTCAAATCTGGTATTCCTTTTATTTCTTTCAGTCTCTCCTCGATGGTCTTACATGACATATAGAAAATATTCAATTGTCTTGCTATTATACTGTCTGGAATATCATGGTCCTAAAAATGTGATTTTTTTATATTTACATTACGTCTTTGATATAAAAATCAATCAATGGAAAAAAATGTAAGCTGATATTAATGCCAATAAAATACCAACATACCATACACACACCATTTCTACATACACCTCATACACATGCATACATACACGCACTCACATACACGCACTAGTATGTGAGTGCGCGCACTCACATACTAGTGCGCGCGCGCACACTCGTACATGTGCGCGCATAGACATACTCATTCATACACGTAAGCGCGTACCCACGTATACACACGCCCTCGCTCACGTAGCATCCGCTTTGAACAGAGCTATCGCATACCAAAATATTCATCAAAATTAAAAGATAATATACAATCTGCTAGGTAGAATAAAATATTGGTGATTAACAGTATTTTTTTTACCAACATTCGAAATCCTTTTTTATTCATTGTTTTCAAACTGACAGAAGTTGCTACACTCAAAATGTTTTATCCCACAAAGTAATAGTCCGACAGCTGTGAAATTTGTACACGTGTCTTTTGAAGGTTATAGGGTTAACTAAAATACATATGGATTTAATACTATTAGCGCCATCTGTGTGTTAGCCTACGAACTTTTCAGCCCAACTAGTAGTAATTTGAGAAGAGAGAAGCACATTTTGCTCCTTTAATACTTGGAACATCCTATAGATAGATAATTTATTAGACTATATCATATACAGTTACAGTCATTTGGTCTTAAAATATATTGAGTAAACTATTTAGTAATACAATATCACAGTTTCACAAGTAATTACAACCAAATTATCATACACAAACAGTAAGTATGTTCTTAGAGGCTAAAGGTCGCACTTTGAATATCTTTCAAGTAATTGATTGAGTAAAATCAATTTTTTAGCAAATACAATTTTATTTGATTGAGGCAGTACATTGTAGAGAATACAATCTAAAGATTTTTTTGTGAAGTAGAAAGCCTATATCTAGGAAATTTGATATTGTCCAGAGTTTCAAATGTTATGATGGTGGATGTCAGCATGTGTAGTGAATTTGGGCAATGTTTTGTGAATTTCAAGAAGTGAAATGTAAATGTATAAGGACAAAAGAGTCACGATTCTAAGTTTGATGAATAAAGGTCTCCACGTATCTCTATATTCCAGATTACCTAATATTCTTTTTGCTTTTTTTTTTGTTGAATAAAAATAGCATTAGCAGCCGAGGATTTTTCCCACAGTAAAATGGCGTAATCCATATGAGACTGAAACAGTGATAAATATACTGTTCTCAAATTTTCGTAATTGGAAATGTGCTTGAGCTGTCGCAAAAGAAATAATATGCTTGACAGTTTGTTTTAATTGTTTTATATGAGCATTCCAATTCAATTTAGAGTCCAAAGTAACTCTACATTCTGATCTTGTTGTTCACACTGACGGGTCGTTACGAGTAACCTCTGAGACTTGTCATTATTTACTTTCAGATTAGGTGACTTTACTCATGTCCAGAATTACCAACCAATCTTCCGTGTTATCTATTCAATGCTAAAATCAAGAAGCATCAAGATATGAATTGATTTCATTGAAAATATGTTCAATTCGCTACCCTCAGGAAAAATTAATGACTGCATATCAGTACCACTTTCTTTCTGCATGCACCAGTATAAATTAATTGTTGTACTCACGAAACTTCTCGAGAGAAATACACATTGAATAGAGCACACTTCATATGACCACAACAGTTCTACTATACAACAGTGTTACTATAATGTTATTCAAAATCTTCAGTGTAACCAAACATTTTTCCATTTCAGAAAATCAAATTTGTTACCTGTAGGTATCTGTTCGGAAAATTCCTTTAATTTTTCAGATTTTTAGTTTTAGAAATATTAGTCTTCCTCCTCAAATGTTAACTTTTTCAAAATGCGTTTCTATAGTCTCAACAAACAGTTGAAGGAGCTTCATTAGTATGATTAAATGCTAGTTAAACCAGTTCACAACAATGCAACTGCCCCAGGTATGTATCACGTTTCATGTTGAGTAATTTTTTCTAACGAAATAACACTAGGATTTCAACTGATCGTTACAAATTCCCAACAAATATTGCCTTCTTCAATTACTCGTTAGACTACAGATTAAATATTTATTGAATGATTCTCAAAATACTGTGCCTCTTACCTTCAGGATTTTATACATCTGATCGATTTTACGTGGGGGAGTCATCATTAGTTTGGGAAATGCAAGCATTGATTTCCTCATATCCTGGCCTACCAAAGTGGGATATTCTCTGAGGGTGGCCTTTGTATAATCTGGAAAGTTGGACAATATATAACCACATTTCAATATTTTCTCGTGGCTAAAACCCAGCTCTTCTGCTAGTTTAATATTTTCTTCAAGTACTCTCAAACTTTTATTCTTAACCGTCCGGTGTGTTTCAAACATCCTAGTCAGTTGATCCTGAGTTACATTCATTCTCATCTCTAGAAACAATTACCTATTCAATAATGAGAATGAGAATCTACATTATTCACGTACTTAAAAATGCTCGAACAACATTCAGATGGATATTAGTCCAGGAGTCCTCCTCTCGGTAGTCTAGAGGTATGCTAGAACGAATTTCTTCATTTTCTATATAAGACACCATTTTTTTTACAATATGAATATCTTTTTGGATTATTTTTTTACGTTTCAAGAGTTTCACCGAATGCCTCATAATTATCTGGAAGCTGAAAATATTAAACTAATTATAGACTTTTAGTAGAGCATAAGAATGTGAGAAGGATCCCAAGAAAATTCCGTCAAATAAGTTGACAAAATTTCAGCTTTTTTTCAACTACACCAATTTTCTTACTATACTATAACAATTTTCAATTGAAGGTGATTCATTAGCAACGTTGCACTTGAAGTGACCAACGGATAATCCTCTTGCCAACTCTGCAGAGTCGTACCAAAATATTATTTTTATTTATTTAAACACATAGGTAATTACGTAAAAATTGTTATAGTAGGTGGCGCTACCTGGTGTCAATGGTAAAACCGATCACATTTTCTTATTATGCCTAATACAGTACTTCAAAAAAACAGAAAAATGTACAAAATAATTATTATGTTCCTTCAATATAGAAAGAGAATTACAAAGCAAAGAAATAATTACCTATGTTATGCTTATGAAGTTTCAGAATCCATTGACTCGTCCGAAGAGGAATCCCCAGTCACACTTAAATCTATTATTATTTGGTCGAAAACAGTGTCTACCATCCCGTCCAATCTCCACATTTTCTCTTCTTCCTTGATCACATGGGATACAGCATTAGTAAGTGTAAGTAATTAAATAAGTAAGTACTTTATTTAACCACTTTATATACAGTTGCATATTTGTAGAAAGTCACAAAAGTTTGTTCATTGGATAAAAACTTTAAGTAGATATAAAACTGGACATATACCACAATAGAATATAAACAGAATATAAATATAAGAGTAAATAATTTAAAGATAATGTCTCAGCGAGCATAAATCAAATTATTCCACCTTGTTTCACCTTTTTTTCATATTCATCTAGTGTATAAAAGGAATTTTCAATTAAGAAAAGTTTGATAATTTTTTTGAAACAGAACATGTTTGCCTTTTTTAGATCATCTGGAAGGATATTATATAAGCTAAAATTTAAAGAATTATTTGCCGATTTGGTAAGTCTATATCTGGGTATTCTGATATTGTGTGCTCCTCTAGTATCATGTTGATGAATATCAGACTGTGTAACTAAGTTTGGTAGATTCTTATGGATCTCCACAAGAGTACTTAAAATAAATAGGCAAGGAAGAGTCATGATCTTCAACTTTTTGAACAGTGGTCGGGGAGTCTCTCTATACTTGGCATTAGCCAAGATCCTTATAGCTTTTTTTGTTGTCGAAATACACGACATGCAGCATATGAGCTACCCCAAAGCAATATTCCATAATTAAGATGGGTTTCAAAAAGAGAGAAGTAAGCGATTCTACGAGTATTAGTGTTGGTAATAAGGCGAAGTTGTCGTAAGTTGAAAAGTGAGCTGGACAGTTTCAAGTTCAACTGCAATATGATTTGACCAACCGAGTCTTTCATCCAAAATAAAACCTAGCAGTTTTACATTATTTTCCACTAGTAGAGATGTATTAGTGGTAACTGTTAAGGTTATTTATCATTGTTTAGTTTCAGCCTTTTTGCGGTGAACTACCTTTCGGCTTTCCCCTTGGCATATGCTGCTAAAGAGATCAGAGAGCTGTAATCTTTATGTGGATATATCAGTGTTGTGTCATCAGCAAAAAGAACACTTGCATATGGAGATAAGAATGGACTCAGGTCATTTATATATATGATGAACAACAATGGGTCCAATATGGAACCCTGTGGAACACCAACTTTCACATCCCTAAAACTGGACAAACTGTTGTTATAAAATACTGCTTGAGATCGATTAGATAAATATGACTCAAGAAGAGAGAGATCTAACCCTCTAATTCCATAATAATTTAGTTTCTCTACAAGTATATCATGGGAAACACAATCAAAGGCCCTAGACAAGTCACACAGAGTAATACCCATATGGTGACCTTGTTCAAGACCCTTAATCTGCCTCTCGACAACCCTTGTAGCTGCACTAGTAGTTGAGTGATTTAAGCGAAAGCCAAATTGTGATTCATTAATGTACTTATTGTCCTCAAAGTATTTGGTCAATCTTTTTTTCATTATTATTTCAATTATTTTTGAAAAAATGCAAATAATTGAGATGGGTCGATAATTACCAGTTTGTGTTCTATCGCCCTTTTTGAATACAGGGATTTTTTTAGAAAATTTGAAAATATCAGGGAATTTTCCTGTTACAAACATCAAATTGATTAGATCAGTCAAAGGCTCAACAATTATGTCACTCACTGCTTTAATAATTCGGCT